ATTGGGATTGTACTTCGGCTTTAATCCTGGACTCTAACAGTCCTCAGATCACACATGTCTTCAACCTCTCGAGCCACGTGTCGTATAATAAATGTATATTTTTTTCCTTATCAGTTCCCAATATTGCATATGCCTCGTAAGCAAATTAGGCAGCTCAAAGAAAGACACTGAAACTAATCACATTCCGTAGATTCTTTGTACGCTAATCTTGTCTTCATTTAGCCGTTGACTTTTATGCCCCAACAAATAGTGTAATGATGATGCAAAATGATTTTGCGCCTTTGTGTTTTGGAGCTGTTAACTAATAAGTTGTATAGTATGTTGTATCATACTATCGTATATGTTTCAAAAGAAAATTCAAAGTCAAAAGTCGGGGGTCCCAACTACAGCTGCAAATGAATCGAGCAGCTCGCGAGCTGCTCGGGAGCGCTCGAGTCAAAGCTCGACTCGAGCTCGAGTCGAGCTCGAGCGGCTCGAGCACGAACTCGAGTCGAGCTCGAGCCCATATATTGCATTGTCGAGCGGCTCGCGAGCGGATCGAGATATGTGAAATTACTAAAATACCCTTATATATATATGTAATTAATGGTTATTTTACAAAATTTCTTGAAAAAATTCGAGCCGAGCTCGAGCATTATGAATTCGAGTCGAGCTCGAGTCGAGCTCGAGCTCTTGTATGTTTTGATCGAGTCGAGCTCGAGCACCAAAAATCGAGCTCGACGAGCTCGAGCTCGAGCACCTCAAAAAAAAAATTCAATCCGCTCGATAAGGCCAATGCTCAACTCGACTCGACTCGACTCGACTCGTTTGCAGCCCTAGTCCCAACACCAACTCCCCACCGGCCAGTGTAAGAATTTAGAAAGCTACTAGAAAATGTTAAGGTCACGTTACTGAATCATTTCGTCGAGGTTTGTAATCGTTAAATTATCATGTAAGTGTCAAAAATAATTGATTCCATGATTACAAATTCCGACAGAGTGGTTTCGTAACGAGACAGTATCAACTCCCTAACTGAAAATTCACAATTCCCGTGCCACAAAAAACGAAAAAAAAATAAATAAAATGAAAAGCTGTCGCGTCAGTTGGGCCAGGGTTTTAATAAATAAACAACCTTAAATGGTAGTAACATGACTAGTGGGTGGGCTGGACCGGGGCCCATAAATTGACGCGCATGCAACAAATCAACAGAATGGGCCCAGCCGTGCAGATGACAAAATCTTCGAGGATGGGTTTTGTGCTGCACCAGGTGCACCACCATGCACCAAGTGGAGAGAGGGATCAGAATCAGATTAACAGTTTTTGTTCTCTCTCTTTCCCTCCAAGTCCTTTGCTATTTTCCCACCAATCAAGACGGGAAAAAATTAAAATATAAAATTCAGATTAATATTTTGAATTTCCGTACTTTTCATGTTAGGTTGTCTAATTACCTTTTTTTTAATTAAATATACATAGTTATATAATTGAATATCATACTTTAAAATACTATATAATATAACTATGACATTTATAATTTAACTATTTTTTTATAAGATAGTATGATTCTTGAATAATTAGGCGAAACAGATTGGTTATTTTGGGTAAAACAGTTGTGATGGGGAGAATGTGAAAAGGATTTGTAGAAATATTTTTGTGTAATATTATGTCATATATTATCCAATGCAAGAGAAATTACTTGTATATGAAAGTGATTAGATCTTAAAGGAAACTTGTCCTGTCATTTTTTTTGAAGTATAATGAAGCTCCTAGATAAGAGATATGATGTGCAAATTGTCTTGTATCGAGTTGAGAGCATAGTCCTCACGAAATCCCACCAACTTGCTATTCCGTGACTTACAAAGCACTTGGAGGATTCCCAGCGTAAATACTCTAACGCTCAAGTTAGTATATGATTGAGGGAGTACTGTAGAATGTATTAAGCGTGTATTTAATTATTTAAGTAAAAGAATCTAGTTACCCTTATATATCTAGGGTAGTTTGTCAAGAGTCCTAGTTAGCAAAAGATCATCTCATATCTACTTTCCTAACTCACCAAACTTCTAGGATCTTAAGACTCTTTAGGAAGCTACATTTTTCATCCATGAAGAACTCTTGTCCCTCTTACCCCACGACTATTAGGTCTCAGTGTTGCAACCATGGCCTCCTTACCTGCATGTTGTAGTTTATGCCTAGGTCCTAACCATAACATCCACCTTCGCGACCTATAGACCATGAGGTCCCACCTGATATCCTAGCTCCATAGGTTCTCTGGCCTCTGAACTATTTGAACTGGCTCGACATGTACCTTGAGCTACCTAAGTAAGTCCCTGATAGGCATATGCATCAAAACAGGCTCAGCTCCCTTAAACCGACCATGACCGAGCTATCCATCCTTAGGCGATTCATCGAGCTACTCTAGGTGCTATATCATCTAGCTCCCATATTCTTGAACGAGCTATCTTGACTTGTACAAGAATTCTCCGCTTGTGCCCAACTAACGTGCCAACATTAAATAGCGCAAACTGGGAAGCGTTGTGAAAACATCTCTTCAGAAACTTTGTGCACTTTTTCTAAATTGCATCGTGAATCCTTTTTCAGAACCATTGTTATGTAGGGAAGCGTACGGGGGAGACGATTGTTAATGAAATCGCAATCTCAAAAACACCTTACGAATTGTTTGATGAACATTATAACTTAAACATAGAGAGGTCATTCGGTAATTATGAATCGAAGATCAAATCGTAATTTGGGAATTAAATTGAGAGTTTCAACAATAACAATAAACTAGTTGAAGAACTATTATATTATTCATATATGAACGGAGTGGACTTAGCCCATAGTTTGACCCATATATGGAGAGCCCAATTTAACAACTCCTTAGTGTCCATGTTGTAGCCTATAAATGCATCACATCTTTTGGAATTTATAAGAGACACACGCATAACCTAAGGCTCAAGGTAAAGCTGCCACTCTCTAGAAAATCCCAATCGAAATATCTCCGAGATTTTGGCCAACCAAAAAGAACATCTCCGAGATTGTCGCCCACCAAGACGAACATAGAAGATGTCGGGTCAAACAACAGAAAATCCGAGGTAAACTGAGCCTATATATATATATATATATATATATATATATAGAGAGAGAGAGAGAGAGAGAGATCTGCCGACGATCAACTCCCGACCACTCGCGACGAGCCCTACATGTTTGGCAGTGACCGGCGACCACAGCGGCACCAGCCGCGCACCCAGCCGTGCCCAGCCCAACGCAGTCGTGCAGAGACCCGTCCAGGCACTTCCCGGCGCGCGAGGTTCTCAACGTGCAAAGCTTAGTCGTCCCAGGCGTCCCCAGTGCATCCGTCCACTCGACACCAGGCGAGACCCGAGCAGACCAGCCACCAACGTCAGCACGTGGGGGACTCATATGAAAAGGAACACCTTGATAATCACCCATATGTCTTTCTAGCAAGTCCGGTTATGTAATAACCTACACCATCATTCACAAAACGTACATGATGAACCGTATTATCACATAAACCCAGTAATCATGAGTGCTATAATAAAAAAAAAAAAAACTATTGTCTATCACCAGAGTGCGTTTCTAGCTAGTCTCCGTAGTCTCAACAGCTTTGGTACATTTAAGTAGAGCATGTAGCTAGAGTACCACAAACTACAATCTCAAAGCAACAAAAAATTCACAAGAGAGCACAGTCATGTTCTTATAAGCAAAAGTTGGAAGTAAAAATAACACAAGAAGTCTATAATCATGCACATTCATCCACAAACTCGAGACCAATTACAATTCAAAGGTTTAAAGTTTGATCCTGAAATCAAAATTCATAGTACATACCTTGAGTACCCCACAACCTTGTGCGATTGTCTCCGCTGTGTAAAGTGCACGTTTTAAGGAGGACGAATATACCGTGGATATTTTACGCTCCCTGGAAAGCCGTTTGGCCAACTTCTCCACAATTTTGATAAAATATATTGAATCATAACAATCTTTAATTCTCTAAGACATGTACAAAAAAATTCTGCAATGATGTTTTGGCTTACTTTAATCGCTTGCCGCCTCCCAACATCATTTAAGACTAATATCTAGTTGCCCCTAGGAAGAAAAAAATGAATAAGAATCTAAACTTAACAATCAAGTTGACTTGGAGAAGTGAAAAAAGTCAGCAGAATTCTGCCGTCAATTTCCATTCCGTCTCACCGCGACAAATCACAATAATCTTCGCATATTTTGGACCAATATTCTCAGAATCAACTAAACCAGAGGTCCTGGAGAAGAACAGATATCATTATCAACAACTCTTATTTTTCATGGCAAGATATTGAACTAAAATATGTAACTACGATATCATTATCAACAACTCTTTTTTTTTTGGCATGATATAAAAAAAAAAAAAAAAAAAGCATGTACTGAAAATAATCTATGTATGCAAGGTGCATTACTAACCTCCGATTCAAATCCGCCATCAGACTATGGAGAATCAAGCTCGGGCAGATTTCAATGGAGTTGTCTTAACAAGGAAGCTTTGTATTTGTGAAAGGCTTGTGTATTTCATCCAGTCAATGTTGTATAAGCTGGCTTTTGAAGTTAGTTAAAGAAACAATGGCCAAAATATCAACATTTCAAAGTGTTGCGAGTAATTAACATTCATTTGTGAGGATAAAAGGAAACTTCCTTCAACTACTTCTGGAATCACCTGTGAAAATTTTACCTACAACTCTCATTAGGTCATCGGAATCTCTTAAGACTTATTGGGTAGTTGCAGATTGCTAAGTCGAAAAACATCAAAACAGTCACACGAGAAGAGAAATATTGTAATTTCCATTTCGAGCAGCAGAAACTTATGAAGGCTCCAAAAAATCACATAATAGTTTCTCAATTCGCATATTGAGACACAACACCCTCAAAAGTCTTGATTTATCCAAGGCACAGTACAAGATCCTAGTTAAAGTGAACACAAATTTCAAGCCCCTTCCTGATTATGATCAATGACAATAAGCAATTACAGCCAAATACTAGCCGGAATTCCTATCCCCACCGAAACCCGACTCCAGAAACCTAGTCCCGTCAAGGTGACTCACGTCGCCCCATGATTTAATAATCCATTTGTTTTTATCTGTCAAAAGAAACACATTGACTGAAGTGTTGAGAACCCTTCCGGTGGGCCGCCTGTGAGGAGAAGCTCTTTTGTGAAGTGCTCTTATGGTGCCGCCATGCGAGACCACCACGACTCTCTCCCCTGTGTCATTTTAACCCCAAAAATTTAGAAATAATTACTTATAACATACATGTAATATATTTGCCGAATTGAGCAACCACCACCTATGTGTTTTTGGGCGATCCTTTGCAAAGCCCATGTGCAACGTTCATACAGTTGATTGAAACTCTCCCCACCACCCTGCATATGAGTTCAATTAGCCTTTTTGCTTGCAATTTTATTTTATCTACCGGTTTTAATATTGCTATTATTTGTTCATGAAATATGAGGAAATTGGTAATGTAGTGTGTCACAGGGTTATATCTTTCTTTATGTTAAGATTTTGACTTCACAAAGATTAAATTTTCATATAGGAGTGCTTAACTTGTACTAATCATAGATCTCCACGTACGATTTCAGAGCATTTATAAAAAGTTTGAAGTGTAAAATTAAAGGAAATGTTTCAGGAAGTACGTCTTAGAGTGGCTTCATGGATGCATTGCCTCTAGATTGTATTATATACGGTAAGACTTAAAAAGTCAGTAGGCAACACATGAGGGTAAGAGAAAATGAAGAGAGAAACACGCACAGGAATTTCTTGATCATCTTGGTTGGATAAAAATGCTTTGTGAGCCTCTGGATTAACTTTCGCAATTTCATTCAAGATGGCACCTTGAAGGGCTCCAAGGTGTCTTTCTCTTAAGTCTGGATCTTTCATAACCTGATGATCACAACACAAGGCTTGTATATACTTAAAAGCATCCACATACAAATGGAAATGGATATATATTCATCGACTTTAGCATAAACTCTTGCTATCTATTGGTGCCGCATAGATTGACAGAAAAGACAATCTTTCAATAGGAAACAGGCAGTATGGCCTCAGGGCATCAGGAAGGGCAAGAGCTGAGTCAAATTAAACTCAAAAGGCCAACATATCCATAGACATTTTAAAAAGGAATCGATCACAAATGGTGTTTTAGCTCACAAAGATAAAGATTATGCTACCTAAAGCTAAAGTTGACCTTCCCTTCATACCTCAGGTACCCCACAGCTTTTTGCAATTATCTCGGCAGTGTAGAATGCACGTTTTAGGTCAGATGAATACACTGCAGAGATTTTAGGCTCCCTTGAAATCCTCTCAGCCACCTTGATCAGTAAAAAACAAATTCCAAATCACGTAAATGCCAATACAATGAATTCCGAATAAATTGCATGAATCATCACATACCGCAACCGCTTGCTGTCTCCCAGCATCATTTAAGTCCACATCCAAGTGGCCCTACACGAAAAAAAGACAATAATAGTAACACAAGTATCACAAACTATCATCTCCTGATGCTTTTGATAAAAAGAACTTCCTTCAAAGTGACCACCTACAGGAAACATCTTAAACATGATCTTTATTAACTTCTAAAAGTTCGAACATTGAGAAACCGATATAAATCCATACATGCACATCCACAATCTTCATCATCCATTTCCTTTTCCAGTTCAGTTTACGAGGAGACTATATTACAGAACACCTAAAATTCTGGCGGGCTGTTCACAGGCATTGCCATGAATCGAATCCAAAATCAACAACAGGAGTAATTTTAACAAAAATGTATATATTTTCTTTGCTTCACCTAATACAGCTGAAAAAGAATTGAATACACACACACACACACACAGACCTGAATTCGACGATCAGCATTCCACTCCGTTTCACCATGACGAATTACAATAATCTCTGCATAGTTTGGACCGACAGTCTCGTTGATTTCACCATTCTCAACCGAACCAGATTGAACTACAACTTCATCCCTGAAAATTCCACCAGTCAGCAATGCAAACCCACAAAAAAATCCGACTAACCCAATCTCTCGATTACCCATTTTCCGGGAATCAAAATATTTCCGTCCAAACAAACGGGAAAAAAGGAAAAAAAAAAAATACAGCGCGCCTCAAAGCACTCCATTTTGAGCCATCATCTAGCACAGCAAGGACAGAATAGAAAACGCAGGCAACAATCGGGCCACTGGAACTGAATAATCACCTCACTGAAAAACATAAAAATGTAAAAAATACGGACCTGGAGTTGGACTTGTAATCGGCCATGAAACTTCTGCGGATGATCAAGCCGCGCGACAACGCCGATAGATTTTCAGGCTTATGAAGAGCCGCGGTCTCCGACGAAGGTGGAGAGTGGGCGACGACGGAGAAAGGGAGGAATGGCGCGGAGATTTTACGGTATTCGATTCCAAGCTCACAGCGTACATCGCAAGCGATTCTAGTGATTTGCGGGCTTTATGGTGTGGAGTGCAGTACTTTGGGCCGGTCCATTTGTTGGCCCACTTTCAATATCAAATTGTAACAGTTTAGCGTGGGTGGACTACTACCCAAGTCCTTACTGTCCAATATAAATAGTCAAAGCCCAGTTAAGTTGGCTCTTCTTGTTACGTGTTTGCGTGTTTGAGAAAATTATGTGGTAAATCCGTTTTTATTAGTATATCTATATCTATGGAGTTTTTTTTTTTTTTTTTTTTTTTTTTTTTTTTTTTTTTTTTTTTTTAATTATAGATATACTAATTCTTACAATTTATGAATAGTTAATTTGTACTTTATTTCATTATTGGGTTATAAATTGCATTGTTCAGTAGTTTATGACTCGTTTATTAATGATTTATATATGATTTTATTTTGAAAATCATTGTAAAAGTTTTCAAAAAGTGAAGTAAATATGTAAAAGACCGGTTGGACGAACGCTTTATTGGTTTACTTTGTCGGTTCTAATTGGGAAAAATTTATAACTACTCCTCTTTAACAATAATTTTACATAACAGTTGCAAGTCATACATAATACCTAATTTACTCCAAACATTAGACAAAAATAGGCAGCAAAAAAAAAACCACTCTCTCTCTCATCCTATAATTTCTCTTATTTTTCTTCTCTTTCTTCTTTCTCTCTCCTACTTCTCTCTTCACGTTCTTCTTCTTCTTCTTCCCTTTTGTTCTTCTTTTAATGTTTCTCCTTCTTCTTTCTTCTTCTTTTTCTTCTCTTCAAACCTTATTACCTAAACTTAAAAGCAAGTGATTATATATATATATATATATATATATATATATATATGTATATATATATATATACGTAACAATTAAATTAAATAAAAGCAAGAAAAAATTATAAAATTAAGTTAACAACCACAACAATAGTTATAAAATAGAATACATACATATTATATGCATTCAAGAAATTATATGAAAACAAATAAATAAAAAATCTTCCATGTAACAACAAAGCAATAATAACATTTAATCAACAAGAAAACAACAGTAAAACAACATAAAAATAATTAAATGATACGATAGCAATATTTAAGTTAAAAAAAAAAAGATTGATGAATTGGTTATGTACCTACAGAACAATCAACAAAAAGGTTTGTTATTATAACTTAAAAAATTAATGATGTAAATTATGAAAAAAGAAACAAGATAGGTATCAAAAAACAACAATAAAACAACTATCAAGCAACATGCAAATAACTATCTATAAACAATAAAAGTTTTTTAGAAAATTGCAATCAATATGTTCGGATGCCAACAACCACATTGAAAAAGGTAAAATGAAAAGCAAACATTTACTATAAAATAATCACAATTTGTATAATTAAGAAAAGTTGGAGCTTTAGAATAAAAAATTATCAAATTTTTTGCTTAATGTCACTCCCATTCTCAAAACCCAACATTTAGTATTTGGAATTTCATATATATTACTTAAGTTCCCAACTGAGTGGAACACTTTTTCATACAAATAAGATTATAAAATTGGAGCAGCTGCAATTTCGATTAATAGCTAAAGAGAAGGGAAAAAAATCATTACTCGAACATGATAATGCCCCCGATGAAAGTCGCCCACAAGGCAACACCCAGGAAATGAAAAACAGAGAGGTGAGCCAATTTCAGTCAGGTCACGAGCACAGGAGAGTTCTGGCCGTCCGATTTCGATCCGAAGATTTCCGACTAAAAAATTAACCCAATTGCCAGAAACACTGGTTAGAAATCTTGTCATCCAAGCCATATCTTATTCTTTTTCGTTACTTTCGTCCTGAATTCATTTTGGAATCGAGTTCTGAGTAATCTTATTTGATTTTTTTGGGTGCTTAAGAACCCTAATAGAAAGAAGAAGCAGACGCCTAAGAAGAAAGAGGAAGAATATGAAAAGCAGAAAAGATTTTGGACAGTTTTTTTTTTCCATAAAACTGACAGATATTATGAAAAGTTGCGACAGTTAAAAAATAAAATCAAATAAAAGAAGCAACCGCCATATTTATTAAACCCTAAAAAAGCGTCCAAAAAAAAGGGTAAAACTGAAAATAGAAGGAGTAGTTTTGACTAAATAATAAGTTGGAGTAATTAGGTAAACTGTTTAAATAATAAGACAAGACGTGTACTTATTTCGTTCTAATTCATACTCTGCAGAAGGATTGTTAAAAGTTACTAATGGGTGGATCAACACTTGAGTCGGTAATGGATCGGCAGAACATTTGACGGAGGACTCTTGGGCTTTCTTTAATTACTTCTTGAGTAGTGCGCTCTGATAGGCTTGGGCTGGCTCATTCATACAAATTGTATATCTTGGGCCCAGTAATATTTTAGCATACAACATAAACCATGAAAATCTTGTCAATCAAATTATAATATAAGTAAATAGATGAAATTGATAATAACCAATTTACAAGATTATAAAAAAAAAAAAAAAAAGTAGAAAAGAAAACTCGTGGACTAATGACGGTGGCCGCATGTTGTGAAGCGCGTTTTATTGACTAACAGAGATTTTAATTTTAGTGAATTTTGCATAAGTCATGGATCCAATAAAATCGGAGAAGAAAATATCTTGTGAGATGTGGAAAAAGGCCATGTGTCTGGAAAATGTTTACCCGTTGAAATTAAGAAAAGACAGGTCAATCATTAGCAAGGCTCTAGAGGAATCAGAATTCAGGGGTCGTTGGCTAAATGTGAACACTGTTTTTATGAAATTCCATCTCACATTCACATGTTATTGGAAAATGTTACGGTAACTTTTCGAAATCATTCCGTCAGGATTTGTAATCGTTAGATCAACTATGTCGGACGGTTACATGATGATATACGGTTACAAAATCCCACGAAATAGTTTCGTTTCGTAACGAGACCTCAACATTTCCCTATATTATAAGTGATTATAAGTGATTAGAATATCACTTGTTATCTCACTATCATTTAGGAAAATATGTCTTTATCTTATGTGTTTAGTGTGCTACGCGTCTCATCAACAAATTAGTTTTGTAATAGAATTTCGTTTGGGCTTCATATAGGTTTTCACTTCTATGGTGTGCCTCATGTGCGTGGGACTCCACATGTTTTCCCTTCGTTTCTCGTTTTGCCCGCCCCCCGTTTCTTAATAAAGAAATTTAAACACTGTTATGGTGCGCTTCACGTGTGAGATGAGAATGTGGGTTTTGACCCCCGCACACGAGAAGGTGTGCATACAACAGCACGAGCGAGTGCGCGAGATGAGCCGACGGCAAGGGTGCGAACACGCGCATTGGCGTAAACAAGCAAGGTCGAGAGCTGGAAGCCGATAAGGTCAAGGCTGCAAGGACGAGCTTGCAGCACGAGGGGTCGCAGCCAAACGGGTTGAACAGGACGCTCGGATGGTCGACACTCGTGAGCTCGAACAAGGTTATCACGTGGTCGATATTCGCTAGGTCGATCGGGCAGCAGGGAGAACAGATGGACGGTACTCGCGGAGTCGAGGACGCACATGGTCAAGGTTGGAGGAGTCGACGCTAGACTCACGGTGTCGAGCAGATCAAGTCATGAGCAGGATGAAGCTAGTTGGGTCGAGCACTGTGAGAAGTATGTGGCTAGGCGACCTGGACACACGGTGGGCCGATCCCAGGAGCGCTCAACGATCGCCCGTCAATCGGTCAAAGAGATAGCCAAGAGAGAGTGCGCACGCGCGTTGGCCAAGGACGCACGTGACGAACACGACAAGGCCAAGAAAGCTGGGCAGACAGGTGCGTGCCTGCACGCGAGCAAGGTAATCGCGTGCGCGTATGCGGGGGGAGGCATGACAAGGATGACAAGCCTAATCCTCATAGGAATAGTGCTAGACCACGCAGGACTAAGAAAAGCAGCTGAGTATCGGTACGCGCGTGAAGGATCAGCGACGAGAGTATTCCTTGAAAGAATAGGCAACGCAGCTGGGAGCATATTCCTAGTAGGATTAGGCAAAGTGCGCTCGAGCACACTCCTTGGCGGATTAGGACTAGGCAATGCAGGCTCGAGCAGGATCCTTCAAGGTATAGGAGAGACACACGCCGGACGGACCCAAGGCGGCGCACGCTCGCGGGCGAACAGTGAGACCCTAGTCCTCGAGGAGAGGGCAAGGCGCGCGCGAGGGGACCAAGGCGGCGGGTGATAGCTTGGTCTTCTACTTGGAGTGCAACACAAGTCATTAGGATCCTTTAGATATTCAGTTTCCTTATTGCTTTATGATATCTAGATTGTTTAGGTTACTTAATATTTTATCAGTTTATTAGAGTTATAGTTAGTTTAGGATTAGACCTATTTGATGTCTATATAAAGGTCATTCCTCTTGTCAATTTATTCATTCAGAAATCAATACAAAAATCGAAACTTTTGTTCAAACACTTTGCTCTAGTTTTCTTATTGAATTCTTTTACAATTTTATTCGTTTCGAGGGGCGCGAGTGTGTGAATCTCCTAACACCTATCGTGCGATTCAAGGTGCGGGGGTGGCTTATCGACAATCGGGACACACGGTCTTCATCAGTGCGTGGGGCCACACCCGTTTTGCCCCATGTTTTTACAGTAAAAAAATTTTAAATCTAGTCATAATTTATTGAAGCAATTTTTTTTTTTTTCGTTGTTACAATTAAATGTTTATGCGGGATAACTAGGGTAGAAGAAAATTACGAGAATGGAAACATGATAGAGAATGACTATTATTATTATTATTATTATTATTATTATTATTATTATTATTATTATTATTATTATTATTATTATTATTATTATTATTATTATTATTATTATTATTATTCCTTTTATGAT